GGAGAGGATAAAGAGCTGGTCCAGTGTTCCGCGACCAGGACGAAAACTGCATTGTTCCTCCTGTATCCGAGGTTCGACTAACGGACGAACTCTCCTTCGTCCGTTGAAATCTATGATGTGGAAATTTTGCCTTGAGCCTGAAAAAGAGTGGGATGAGGGGTTGCCGCTGCTCCTTTTAGCTGTGAGGGAAAGCGTGCAGGAGTCGCTAGGATTTAGCCCTGCTGAGCTGGTGTTCGGTCACACAGTGCGTGGCCCGTTGCGACTGCTCAAGGAAAACTTCCTGTCTGACACAGATGCTCCTAAGGAAAATGTGTTAGATTATGTGAGTTCTTTTAGAGAGCGTTTGCATAAAGCATGTGCAATCGCACGCAATGCTCTCGTTGCAGCGCAGGGTAAGATGAAGAGGAAGTTTGATGTGAAAGCTGTGCAGAGGAAATTTGAGGTTTGTGATAAAGTTTTAACACTTCTACCGGTCCCTGGATCTTCCCTCCAGGCAAAGTTCAGTGGTCCGTATACGGTGCAGGCGAAATTGAGTGACACGGATTATGTCATCGACACCCCAGAGCGAAGGAAAAAGTGTCATGTGTGTCATATTAATATGATGAAGCCCTACTTTGCTGGTGGTGTGTCAACAGTTGCGACTGTGGGGGTGCCAGGTTCCGAAGCCCGGTATGACCCAGTAGGTGATGGTTTGGTTTTCGGTTGTGCTGTGGGCTGCGCACGACTTAGGAATTCTGAAATCCTACGTGATTTAAGGTCACATTTAACTGAGGTAGATGATGATGTCCGAAATGACGTGTGTCGGTTGATTGAGAATCATCCTAATCTTTTCTCGGACACTCCATCCTGTACCACCGTGTTGGAGCATGATATTGATGTGGGGGACCATCCTCCAATCAAACAACATGCCTACTGGGTGAATCCCACTAAACGCGCTCTTTTCCAGACAGAAGTCTCTTATCTGTTGGAAAATTGTCTTGCTGTCCCTAGCTCTAGTGCGTGGAGTTCCCCGTGTCTCCTAGTGCCTAAAGCGGATAAGACCCCACGGTTTTGTACAGATTTTTGGAAGGTGAACAGCGTGACCAAACCTGACTCCTATCCTCTTCCCAGAATGGAGGATTGTGTCGATAGGGTCGGTTCTGCGACATTCGTTACTAAGCTGGACTTGTTAAAGGGCTATTGGCAAGTTCCTCTAACATCACGTGCGGCCGAGATCTCTGCCTTTGTTACTCCTGACCATTTTCTCCAGTACACTGTCATGCCTTTCGGGTTGCGCAACGCTCCCGCCACATTCCAATGGCTCATGAATATCGTGCTGGGCGGCGTCCGCAAGTGTGAAGTGTATTTAGATGATATTGTCGTCTATTCAGACACCTGGTCAGAGCATATGGAGACACTCACTGATGTGTTCCATCGCTTGGAAAGGGCATCCCTCACCCTCAACCTCGCCAAGTGTGATTTTGGTAAAGCCATGGTGACGTACTTAGGAAAACAGGTGGGTCAGGGGCAAGTGCGCCCTATTTTGGCCAAAATCCAGGCCATACTGGACTTTCCTGCCCCTCAGACTAGGCGTGAGCTTCGCCGTTTCCTCGGCATGGTGGGCTACTACCGGGGTTTCTGTCAAAACTTCGCGGAAGTGGTCGCACCCCTCACTAGCCTCACTAGTGTGTTGAAACCCTTTGTGTGGTCCTCTGCGTGTCAGAGTGCGTTTCTGTCCGTTAAGACTCTCCTGTGCAGTGCGCCAGTGCTGGCTGCCCCTGATTTTGCACGCCCTTTTAAATTAGAGGTTGATGCTAGTGCAAACGGGGCAGGTGCCGTACTGCTACAGGAGGACCATCATGGTGTGGATCACCCAATCGGCTATTTCTCCAAGAAATTTAATGTCCATCAGCAAGGGTACAGCACGATTGAGAAAGAGGCCCTCTCTCTGCTGTTCGCATTGCAACATTTCGAGGTGTATGTCGGTTGCAGCCCCTCGCCTGTGATCGTTTATACCGACCACAATCCCTTGGTATTCCTAATGCGGATGCAGAACTCGAACCAAAGGCTGACGAGATGGTCTCTTTTGGTGCAGGATTTCAACTTGGAAATCCGCCATAAAAAGGGCACCGAAAATGTGTTAGCGGATGCCCTATCCCATGTTTTCCCCTAAACATGACTGTCCAAAACATCTAGAAAGGAGATGTCTTTGATTTTGGGAAGGGGGGTGTTACGGCTGTGGCCATGAGGACCCTGTGTGGGCTGTTTTTTTTCTGTGTTTCTGTACTGTGCTTAAGACTCTTTCTAGGTCCCTCCCCTAATGAAGCGTAGTGAGCGGCTGATTGGACCATGGATTTGTCTCTCTCTCTCCTCCAACCTTATGTGCGTCCCTACACGCCTAGACTAGGGGCATAACACACCCATGTTGGTAACAGTTTTTCTCTTTTCCATGTTACATGACCAAGATTGAGTACTTACCTCCTCTTTGTGCTATAGTTTCCTCATCGTGCCACTGATCTGCTCATCCTTCTCTTGGATGCTGGTCATCACTAACTGGATTCACTCCACCATCACTCCACAGTCTGTCTCTCTGGAAAGACCTCTTCACCACACACCTGCCTGCCCTCCTGCAACTCAGGTCAGCCCATCATCACTGCACTCTCCTGTCCACACCACCCGGACCTTCACCTTGTCCTCCAAGCTTTAACAGCTCAACCTGCCAAGTAAGCCAACCCCTTAACCTCCATTCCTTTCTGGCTGCTTTTCATGTACCCGCTAATTATTATTTATTGTATTTATTATAAATGTATTTTTTTTTTATATTTCTGCTGTACAGCACTTTGGTCGGCCATGTGTTGTTTTTAAAGTGCTATAAATACCCTATGGTATGGTAATTACCCTCTCCTCTGTTCACAGTTCACAGCACGCTAAGGTCATCACGGCACGAGTCCGTCTCCATGTTTAAAGCTGTTGCTCTCACTACACATTAGATCGCCACATCACAAATCCCTTCTTGTGTTTAAACCTTTGTTTATAGTTTTAAATAAAGCTGGTGAGAAAATCATTCAGCTGTCTCTGTGTTTGGGTCTGCAGTCTGCAGTAACGTACTGGCCCTCCTAACCCTATAACCCTTGAATGCTCCAATTACCACGAGAACTGCTGTTGTCTTTACCCGCCACATCTTCTCGAGTTCTTCTTTCAGCCCTTGGTATATTTCTTCCTGATGTTGCTATCACTCAGTATCGCTAGGGAATCAAAAACTGTTCCTTGTAGAAAACCAGTTCCCAGCAGTCTTGGAATTGTTAGTCTGCCTGCCTATCAATCCCGCTTATCCATTTATACACTCGCCCTAAAATCTGCTGATTTCAGTTTGTTTTCAGTTTACAGGGAATAGCTATGCAGTCCAGACATCACCATTTATCTCGTCGTTTTGTGTAACAAAAACACAAGCGGAAAACTGCAGCTGGGACAGAGGCAACCGCATTATGCCACTAACATAACTTCTTTGCAAGCATCTGCCAAGACAGCATGCTAACGCTAAGCTAGCCAAGAACCCAGTGTGAAAGCTGAGTGAGCAGCCAAACCCTTAATTTCAACAGGTAACAAGCAGATGAGCAGTCAGGCTGCAGCCTCCCTTCTTACCTGTTCATGTTTCTATACCAGGATCACTGTGGTGATCGCTTTTTTGTGCTGGTTTTCATCTTTGCTTTGTGCGGTTTGCTTTGTATTCTACTAAGAGAAAGATCTTAGAAATGTGTGTCCTCATCAGGGTTTTGTGTTGGTGTGCCAGTTGTAGCCCCAAATTTATTTTGTTAAATAGCGATTATGAGACAGAGTGTTTCAGCTATTTTACAGAGTAACATGAAAGCAATGTAATGAGTAGTAATTAAGTAACGTACTGCAATACTTTTAAGAAAAGTGTTCTGTGTAATAAGAGTAATAATGACCTTTTTGAGTAACAACTCCAGCAATGGTCATAACAAAGATATCCCCAAAACTTCTACAGACGGACCCAACACACTGTTGTTGTGTTCACGTTTGGAAGTGTTTATTGTGGTTTCACACATGCAGTGTCTCTCTGTTCAACACCCGATTCACCAACTTTGCAGACGGGTCTCAGCACACACCCTCCTCTCGCTCCGGTCTCTGGCTTCACTTCACAGATCATCACGACCTGTGGCCTCAGCTGGCACCGCCCCCTCAAACTCACTGCACCATCTCTCCCCTGCAGCTGAGCCAGGGACCACACCTCTGCCACAAGTGCCTACTGTGGGATGATTGGCTGCTCCAGGAGAAGTCTAAGTTTCATGGGATCTTGTTCAAGAGTAAGATGAGAAGGCAGAAAGAGACTGACAGACAGATCTTTGTAAACACACAAACACACACACGCATGCGCACACACACAAACACGCACACATTAATATATTTGCAAATATTATTTTGTTCTATTTATCACAACTTTTCAAATTTTTGTATTTCATGTATGAACTGTACATCGTGTAGAGTCTGAGTGGGTAAATTACTCAGGGTAATGTAAACATTGTACACAGGAACTCAAAGCCAGAGGACAAAATAAAACTTTATGTGATTGGCTGGGTATTAAGACCTTGTTGCTGTAGGGTATGTACGTTATTGCAAACCAATATTTTCATAACTTTCCGAGCTTTTTTGCATTGTAAAAGAGTAAAAGTGGTAAAAGAACTTGGACAAGAAAATTGCAACTTCCGTTATGGTTTTGTAAGACCTACCAGCTTCCTCATTTTGGTTTAGCGGTAACACTAAATAAATGTCAGCTGCAATATTTTAGTCAACTCAGCAACAAATCAGATACTTTTACTTCCTCTCTTTTAGTCGGTTCTCATGTGAGCTCTTTGGTACAGAGCTTCTGTTGCAATCTGGGGAAGAAGTGTCATCTTTTACCTACTGCATATGTTAAAAGAGGCTCCCAAGTAGGACGTGAAGGTGATTTGGGGCTTTAGGAAGAATAGAGACGGCAATGAACAGGACAAGGAATGAGGTCACATACACTCAGAGTAACCCACTGTTTGACATGTCACTCAGCAGGAGTGATCTCTACAGCCTTCAGCCTGATGGTAAGTGCTAAGACAGTGAGTGTTACTTCTTTCATAGAAACTGTGTTGAGATTTGGAAAATAGTTATCTGTAACATTTATCATGTTAGAATGAACGTGAAGGCCTAAATCCCTGATTGTTTTACTTTTTAATTTCAAACCTTTGGTGCTGTTGTTTCTGAAAATGTGCCTAAACTTATCCATAACCCTTAACTGGCCATCAACAGTCTCTAAAGATGGAAATGCCAATTAAGAGATATTATTTTCTTCCTGGTAGGTTGTAACTTTGGAATAATCCATATACAAGCTGCTCCTGAAAAAAACCTCACTGGAAACATTATAGTATCATTTAACAAAAAATAATTTTTCAATTTGCTATAGTAACCAAAAATTTCTCGTAAAGTAAGAAACACTGAACCATCGTGAAAACCAATTTCAGCCTCGATGCGACCAAAGAAAAGTTTGGACTGAATAAAAACATGAACAGTGGAGTTAAGTGGCACAGGCTTTATTAGACTTGATGACAAAAACAAAAAAATCAGCTTCCTTAAGTTTTTTACGCCAGCTGCCTGAGCGGGTGAAAAAGCAAACAAACAAAAGCTGCTGTTGACAACAGACAAAAAAATATTGAGTGTTTTGTCTTGGAAGAGAGTTTATTAAGACTCCTGAAATAAAAAGGAATGACATAATGGCTTAACTGAATATAGAGCAGTTCAAAGAATAACTTACAGGAAAGTACAAGAGCAAACAAATCATCTAAAAAACAACTGTGGGACTCTGAAAAACACAGAAGTAACCTGAATACTGGCAAGAGGAAAATGATTTGATTCAATTTGAATGAATTCTGGGGACTGCAGTGACAAATGTACGATTCTGTTGCTTCTAGTGCTAGTAAGTAAACTTTATTGTCATCTCTACTATATACAGTACAGGATATAGAGAAACGAGGCGAGGCTCCGGTTCCACTCAGTGCAAAAGACAAACAATAAATATAAGAAGAGAAATAAATATACACTTTAAGACAAAGATAAAAGGATCAATAACAGTTAAAATTTACAATTTACAGTTTGAAAACTGCAACAAAACCCATTTTACACCCACTCTAAATCAAAAATCAGTCTAATGTCAGCAGATAAATACAACAAAATAAAATGATAGGACCGAGACAAAAACTGTGATATTTTGTAAATATAATAATACATGCAAATTGTGTAATTGTGTAATTTTATTAGCAGCGTCCTCCTGAAAACAACATTGAGAGTAACATCCTCCTCTCTGCCCCTTAATGCCCTCTGGTCGCTATGGTAACGTGGAAATATTTCTTTCAAAATAAGACACACAACTACAACACGGGAAAAGACCCAGGGAAACAGAGTTAATGATTAAAACCCCAAAAACCATAAATTTCACTCAACTCTCGCAGCCTGGTGACAAATGACTCACAGCCCAGTACCCGCTGATTTAAAGTACTGTCAGTACTACAGTGGCTGTCATTCTTAAACCTGGGACAGAGTGAAATGGCAACCTTTACCAGCAGGTGGTGGCAGTGTTTCATATTTTCTTTCAGTGACAGCAGGTTTGCTCATTAAGAGGTTTTCCACGATTCAAATTTAAAAAACGAAATAAAGAAAATGACATGAATGAAAATTCACTCAAAACAGCTCCTCATATGCCAACTATGGAAAAGCATCTTATGGTACAATCAACAGAGCTTTTAAAATACTGATGTTTTAAACATGCATAAAAAATTATCTCTTTCTTTCTCTCTTTCTCCTGCTTTTCTCAAACTCAACATTTGTACTCAGTAGTAGTAATTTGAGTACTAAATGCCTGAATACAACCTCCTGCTTTGATGACAGCCTAGAAATAGAAACTGGTATTATCCTTGGAAGCACTGAAAGCAAAGTGATAAGTTCCTGTATTTGGTTTGTGCAATGTATATACTGGCATTATTTTGTTTATTTATTTATTGCTTGACTGATTTATTTGCAGAACAACTTGAAAACATTTGGTTAAATGTTAGTGATTCACTTGTATATATATGTATATATATGTATATATATGCATATATATATATATGGTTTCTTGCTTTTTGCTTGGTAAATGTAGACAAATATTTGTAATAGCTGAATAAATAGCTGAATTTGTGTGTCCTGAAGTGACAATCTGAAGAAGTAATCTTGGTCCAAGAGATTGATCACATAACCCTGTTTGTGTTTCAGATCTGAAGTCATCCAGG